AGATCGCGTCGTTATCTTCTCGAATGTTAAGTCCGAGATACTGTGTGACGGTAGATGAGACAGTGAGGGTGAGGTCCTTCTGCAGCTCCCCTTCGAACCAGGTGGTGATGCCGTCGGTAGAGCCGATGTAGAGAAGATCGTCCACGTAGACAATTAGCAAGATGTAGTCGCTGTTCTTCGTGAGGCGGTACATGCCCTGATCGTGCGGGAGTTGTTTGAAGCCGATGCGGATGAGGCGAGTATGCAGGTACTGCTGCCACAGTCGCGGCGCCTGTTTGATCCCGTAGAGCGATTTTAGTAGCTGGCAGACGTGCGTGGAATTTGTGTTGGAGCCGTGCGGTAGTTCCACGAAAATCTCTGCATCGACCGGTGCGTAGAGAAAAGCGTTTGCGACGTCGATTTGGCGTAGTTTCTTCTTCTTCATGGCGGCGATCGCGAGAAGAATTCGAAGTGAAGTGTGACGGCTGACCGGAGCGAAGGTTTCGGTGAAGTCTCGTCCATGTTCCTGGTCGAAGCCGCGAACGACCCAACGCGCTTTGAACTTGTCGATGGTGCCGTCGGCCTTCGTCTTCACACGGAAGACCCATTTCCCGGTAAGAATGGTCTTGTTTCGCGCTACGCCGATGGGAACGACTTTCCAGGTGTTGCGTTCCTCTAATGCCTTCAGCTCCTTGTCCATGGCTTCACGCCATTTTTCCTTATGCTCCCCCCCCAGAGCCTGCTGAACTGTCGCAGGCTCCTTAGGAATGTTGACGCCGTGGACCGCGGTGACGAGACCAAGGATTTGGAGTCCGCTCTGTGTGTAGCGGGGGAGTGTGGTGTCCTCGGGATAGACTGCCTCGTCTCCAGTTTCTGGATCGGGTGCGAAGTTGGGCCCTATGCGTTCTGCTTCGTTGGTGTTGACTTCAGCGGGTGTAACGTAACCGTTGTCGGCGAAGTGGTAGTAAGTTTCGGCGTTGACGCTTTCGCGAGGGTTTTCTTCGTCCATCGGTACGTCCACTGAGCAGTAGGGAAGAGGTCCGGCTTCTTCCGAGGCTCCTTCCACATTCTGCTCGTCCCAGTCAGCTTCGTCTTCTGCCGAAGCGAAGGCTCGATCGCCACGGAAGCCGCCTGTGGGGTCTCGATTTTCGTCCAGGTTGGCAAGGTATGTTGGCAGTGTGAGTCGTTCGTAGAAAATGACATCACGTGCTGCTACTGTTTCTTTGGTGTGGATGTCGAAGATTTTCCATGCGTTGTAATGTTTTTCGATGCCCAGGTGTAGTCCCCACTGTGCGCGTTGAGAGAATCGGCCGGCTCGTGCAGATGGGGGTCGGTACTGTACCATGCAGCCGAAGACTCGTAACATTTTTGTGCTGCCCAGTTTTCCTGTCCACAGCAGATGCGGTGATGTGTTGTTCGGGAGTGACGACGAAGAAAGCAAGTTGTGCAGCATCACGGCGTGGTCCATTGCTTCGGGCCACTGGTGGTTGGGTAGCCGCATGCCACGTAACAGTTTGCGCATGGTGTTCTGCAGAGTCCTGTTCATCCTTTCTGCTACACCCTGCTGTTGATGGGCGTAGGGAAGGGAGATGAGTCTCTTGATTCCCTTCTCCGCCAGGTACTGCTTGAATCGCTGTGACGAGTATTCTCCTCCTCCGTCTGATTGGAAACTTTTGAGCTTAGCTCCCGATTCCCGTTCTGCTGCTGGAAGCCATGCCACGAAAGCTTCGAAAGCCATGTCGCGACTTGGTAAGTTTAGGTGCCAGACGTAGCGTGTAGCGGCGTCGATGAAGGTGATGGTGTAGTTATACGCGTTTTGTCCGGGTTCGCGGTTGTACAAGATGTCGCTGTATACTTTCTCGAGTGGTGCATATGCAGGTGCGCTTGGGTTGTGATGCGAGACGAAGGGTTGATGCGGTAAGTCAGCTTCAGGACAGGTGAAGCAAGTCCCTCGTGCTCGTTGAAGTTCTCGTCCGTCTGTTAAAAGCAGAGAGTCCTTGTCGAGTACTCCTGCTCGAATCGTGTTATTTAGCACAGTGTTGCTTGGGTGTCCCATTCTTGCGTGCCAGATTTCTTCGTTGGCGCGATGACCGGGTGAGCGCTGGTACATGTCGGAGTTGGAGTAGAGACCGGTGGTGAAGTTGGGACTGTGATGAAATTCTCGTGGTGCTGGCTGAAGCTGTTGTGCAGGTGTTGGTGGTGCATCGTCGTTGAAGAACGCCGTCGTTGAAGGACCGGCGACTGGTGTCGTCGTTGTCGCTGTTGCTGTTGTTGTCTCTGCTGCTGCCGATGTTGTCTCTGCTGCTGCCGACGTTGTCTCTGCTGCTGCCGACGTTGTCTCTGCTGCTGCCGATTGTTGAATCGTTGCTAATGCTCTTGTTCTCTCTGTTTCAGGAATGGTATGTGAATACCAGAAGCCGCCTGTACTGAAGTCAGGATCAAGATCTGGAGGGTGTGTCCAGTTGGTGAAGTTGACTATGGCGTCGCTGTCAGCGGTACCGAGATCAGGAACGAAGTCCAAGACGAAGACGTTGTTCTTGAGGACTGCTTTTCCGATGTAAAGACCTCCTCTCCCGTGGTATAGCTTGAATTCCTGGGTCGTGCTGTCTGCTTCGAGGTGAATTCCCTTCGCCATCAGTTGACTGACGCTTAGTAAGTTGTAGCCAAGGCCTTCTGCGATTAAAACCTTGGACATTTGCAGAATGACGTTTGTCTCCCGTGACTGAAGTTGTACAATTCCTTGTCGTCGTGTGCGCAGGTTCTGATTATTGGCGACGGTGATGACGACCTCACGTTGAAGTTGATATTCTCGCTGTACGAAGCGTCCTGAAGAACACATGTGTTGTCCGCAGCAACTGTCCAGGAACCATGTATCCTTCCCGGATGGCTCGCTTTGGGCGATGGCGGCGTATGTCGGATTTGGTTGAAGTGCTTCGCGACGAGGTGTGGCGTTGTCGAGTTGTTCTTCCGGTGAGTAATGAGGTGGTGACTCGGTAATGCAGGATTCGCTTAGTCTTGCCATGCAGCTAACGATGTTTCTTGCTCCTTGTGCAGGTTGTCCTGTTGAGGTCGTTGAAGCTTGGATCTGGGTCGTTGGGTTTGCTTGCGTTGACGCAACTTGACCGCTTGAGGGTCGAAGGTGTCGTTGCGGGGTCGTTGACTGTTGACGATTCGGGCAGTGCGTGCGCGGGTGCCCTGAAGTTTTGCAGATGTGGCAGAAGGGAGGTACTGGTTTTGGTTGTTGTTGTCGGTTGTTGTAGTTGTTGTGTCGTCGTTGCGTGTGAAAGACGAACTCTGAGGTTGTCGTCTTCTTTCTGTGTCGTTCTTCTTGCAGGTCCATATCCTGTTGCTCGGCGTGGATTTCGGCGCAGAGTGCTGCTTCAGAGATTCTTCCGTGGGCTCGGAGGATAGCTTTGGTGGCGCGCCACTGAGGACCTAGGCCACCGATGATGACTGTCACGAAGGCGTCTTCAGAGATGGACCCTCCACATCGAAGAAGCTTGTCGCGCAGTTCGCGACATCGACTGATATATGCCATTCCTTTCTCTCCTGGTTTCATCTCAACTGTTGTCAGCTGCGCCATTAACCTGCTCTGGTTTACACTGTCTGTTGCTTGATACAGGCTCTTCAGATGGTTGTACGCGAGTTCCGCCGAGTTGCCGAAGGCCCGGTAAGAGCGAATGTTCTGCTGCTGAGTTGGTGTTACGTTCCTCAGTAGGATCGTATACGCCATCATCGATTGATAAGTGTACTGCTGCTTCTCATACTGTGTGCCGTTTGCTGGGTATTGCAGGGACCCGTCGAAGAAGCCAAGTATCTGCGCGCCCTCCATCATCAACTCGAACTCAAAGGACCAGGTGAAGAAGTCCTTTCCGTCGAATGGTCTTGACGTTTGAAGCTTCAAAACGTGTGCAAACTGCGACTGTACTTGTAATGCGTCCAGTGATTTGTCTTGTGCAGGCGAAGACTGCGGCATGAAGCTGATTGACCCGCGTTCGTACGGGGCGAAGGTAGGTTGCTGCTGTTGATTTCCGCGCGCGTATGACGACCCATCAAGGCTCATGGGCGTCACTCCGTTGTTGCTGTTGTGTGTCTGTGCAGGTCCCGACTGCTGGTGCTGCTCGTAGAAGGACATGAAGGAGAAGAACTTCTCCATCATGCTCTGGTCAAAGCCCGTGGGGCGATTTGTGAGAGTCTCGGTGGACGTTCCCCTAGGTCTTGTTGCCGTGCCTTCCTCTGTCTGCAGGCCAGAGGCAGGAGGTGGTGTAGGAGTAGTGCCCGGGGAGCCATTAGAAGAGCTCCTCTCCTTGTTTGTTGCCATGTCTTGTAATGTCTTTGATTTGGAAGTGGTAGAGTTTCCCCTGACTGCTCTCATACCATGTTGGGCTGAGATAGCCCCTTAGGATCTTTTCAGGGGAGAACTTTAGATAGAACAATTGTAATAGCGGAAGCTTTGAGTGAAGAAATTGTGAACCACCTTGCGCTAGTATGTGAGGGCAAAGTAGATTAATTATAACAGGAAAGTACAAGAATATATAGTAGTGCAAGGAATATCAAAGGATACAGTTATAACTACTTTTACTGTTGCTGTTGCGGTTCGATACAGTACGACTCGGGCAACTGCTCTGTAACGAGTCAGTTGTATGTCCTTAACTGTCGCGCTGTACTTGTCGGGTCAAAGGTTGCTGACCTTTGACTTTCGCGTAACCTCCAGCAACCTCTTTCAACCTCCGAGGGTTGACTCGCGGGTGTTTCGGTGTAGTTTGCCTCGCTTCTGGTGCGGTGTTTCGACACGACTGAAGCGCTTAAGTTTTATTGTTTCCAACAGAATGTACCTGCATAAGCCTGATTGAATTTCAAGGTCTGCATTGGTTGTAACGGTTGCTTGCGATACCATACCACCACCCTATAGCCTCCTCCATCCCCACCTCATCCGCCCATCCGCTTTGCAGAGCAACCTTATCTATCTTTTTATCATCTTTTGCCAGTCATAGTATCAAATGTCTCCTGTCCATGACCCATCAGTTGTGGGTGAATGAAGAATCCACCAAAGAGGTGTGACTGCAGGGGAAGGGGAGGGATGGATTGGAGGGAAAGAGAGGCCTTGTGTGAAAGAAGTTACTTTCGAGCTGAAACAGAAGTCTCCTGTCCTTGAGCCATCAGTTGTGGGTGAATGAAGAATCCACCAAAGAGGTGTGGCTGCAGGCAGGGGAAGGGGGGGAGCGAGGGAGAGATTGATCGATGGAAAAATAGTGGTTTCAAATGAAGTCGTGAATTGAAACAGTAGCCTTTTGTACTTGAGCCATCAGTTGTGGGTGGACGAAGAGGCATAACTGCAGTGGAAGAGGGATGGATGGACTGGTGGGAAACGAGAAGGCTCGTGTTAATGAAGTTACTTGTGATTTGAAACACCAGAGGCCATCCTGACCGTCGGTGCAGCACGAGTGTACGACGCTGATTGCGCACGGCAGCAGACTGTTTTGAGGAGCACTCCGCACACTGCTACGGACAGCCTCTGCCTCTTTCCTTCTCACTCACCTGCTATAAATTTCAAACGAGACTCACCAGAGGCCATCCGGACCGTCGGTGCAGCACGAGTGTGCGGTGCTGATTGCGCACAGCAGCAGACTGCTTCGAGGAGCAATCCGCACACTGCGGGTACAGCCGCTGCCTCTGCATCTCCCTCTCTGCCAGGCCAGGACCCAGCCCCAGCCATCCGAAAATACCACGGCCTCTTCTAGCAGCTTTGGCGCCCCCATCCTCAGCACCCTGCTTCGCCCCCCCCGTCCCTCGTTTCCCCCCTCCTCCCGCCCTTTCCTCCCCCTTCCCCTCGCCTCCGCCTGGCTTTCCGGCATCGGTTCCGGCCCTCCCACTTGGCTTTCCAGTGTCTATTCCTGCCCTCCTTGTGCTTGCCTGGCGCCTGAGACTGGGAGGCCGCTGGACAATAGGAGCGCGCTGCTTCATACTGGGAGATCTGGAGAGGCGGGAGCCAGACGAAGTGGATACGGATGAAACTCGAGGCATGCGCCCAGGCTTGGCAGCAGGCTTGGCAGCAGGCTTGGCCCGAGCCTGTTTGGCACTGGCTGCAGCGCTTGCTCCTGCTCCTGTTCCTGCTCCTGCACCTGCTGCTGCTCCTTCGGCTGATGTGGAAGGGCGAAACATTCGCAGCAAGCCTAGGGGCAAAATTTTGGCAGGCCAGGATGTAGTTTTCTTCGAGGCTTCCAAAGCCGGAGTGGCTGCAGTGGCTGCAGTGGTATCAGTGGTAGCAATGCTTGTGGTGGTGGCAGTGGCGGCAGTGGTGGCAGTGGCGGCAGTGGTGGCAGTGGCGGCGGTGGTAGTAGGAACAGCTGTGGAAGAGGCAGGTGAAGAGTTGATTTGCTTGGACCGTTTGAGCCATCTGGCCCCGTGCACGTCCCGGTTGGTGGGGATGTGGTCTGATATGCTGGGAGGGGAACAAAGAGTGAGGAAAGGAAAGGAAAAGACACAGAGAGGAGAGGCACAGAGAGGGAAGGTTGAATGCGAGTCTGCTTGGACCGCTCCAGCCATCTAGCTCGTGCACGTCCCGGTTGGCGGGGATGTGGTCTGATATGGTGGGACGGGGGGAGGACAGGGGAGGGGTAGAGGAGAGGCAAGGAAAAGATGGGGAGGGGAGAGGCACAGAGAGGGCAGGTTGAGTGCGAGTCTGCTTGGACCGCTCCAGCCAATTCGCCCCGTGCACGTCCCGGTTGGCGGGGATGTGGTCTGATATGGTGGGACGGGGGGAGGACAGGGGAGGGGTAGAGGAGAGGCAAGGAAAAGATGGGGAGGGGAGAGGCACAGAGAGGGCAGGTTGAGTGCGAGTCTGCTTGGACCGCTCCAGCCAATTCGCCCCGTGCACGTCCCGGTTGGCGGGGATGTGGTCTGATATGGTGGGACGGGGGGAGGACAGGGGAGGGGTAGAGGAGAGGCAAGGAAAAGATGGGGAGGGGAGAGGCACAGAGAGGGCAGGTTGAGTGCGAGTCTGCTTGGACCGCTCCAGCCAATTCGCCACGTGCACGTCCCGGTTGGTGGGGATGTGGTCTGATATGCTGGGAGAGGAACAACGACAGAGGAAAGGAGAGGAAATTATGGAGAGAGTGGTGATTGGATAGGCACGGAGGTGTGGCGCTTGAAATTATAAACGGTCGCTTGAACACCCAACGGCAAAACGTCCCCTCCCCTTTTTCCCCCAGCAAAAGCAGCAAGCAAGCAAGCACTCACCAGTCGCCCCGCCTTGTGCCGCAGTGGTGGCAGCCGTAGCGATGGAAGAGGTCCTTGATCAAACCTCGTGAGTTCCCTGTTGCGTACTTGCTGCCCTTGGCTGCACGAAGGGAGGGAGGGAAGCGGACTGTTAGGGAGGGATGGGAAAGGGGATGGAGGAAAGGAGAAGGCCCTCTTGCCGCAGTGGTGGCAGCCAAAACGATAAAGAGGTCCTTGATCAGGCCCTGTGAGTTCCCTGTCGCGTACTTGCTGCCCTTGGCTGCATGGAGGGAGGGATGAAGTGGGGCGGGGGGGGGGGGAAAGGGGAGAAAAGGGAGGGTCTTTGTACTTTCCTGCTTTGATAAGCCCCCGTGAGTTCCCTGTTGCGTACTTGCTGCCCTTGGCTGCACAGAGGGAGGTAGTGGGCGGGAACATGAGCAAGGAGGGTAGAGAGGAAGGAAGATGGGGGAAAAAGGAGAGCCTTTGCATTTTTCTGTTTTAATGAGCCCCCGTGAGTTTCCCGTTGCATATTTTCTGCCCTTGGCTGCAAGGAGGGAGGGAGAACGGGAGGGAAGAACAACAGAGGGCCTAGGTCTTATCCTGCTGTGATGAGCCCACATGAGTTTCCCGTTGCCTACTTGCTTTCCTTGGCTGCATGGAGGGAGGAAGATAAGAGGGATGGCGAGGGGAAGAGAGGGAGGAGGTGGGGAGGATGGAGGGAGGAATAGGGCGAAAGGAAGGGCCTTGGCATTTCCCTGCTCGGAGCCCCCTTGCGCTCGCTGTCAAATACCTCCTGGCATTGGTTGCACGGAGGGAGGAGAGGAGTAAAGGTGCGAGGGAGGGAGATAGCAGGAGGGAGAGGAGGAAGATCGGGGGAGAAAGAGGGGCTTGGCAATTTCGGCCCCGATCACTGCCAGGTAGGTACGCCCTGCCAGGCAGGGCGTACCTACCTGGCAGGCAAAACCAAGCATGCTTGTGAGTGTGTGCGTGCAAGGCAGGGTGTACCTGGGAGGGAGAAAGAAGCAAAGGCGCCTCGCTTCTGAACATCGCTGGGCATGAGGTTGCAGAAACGCCCACCTAGCATCTTGGAGGGTGGGGGTTCGGGGTGGAGTTGTGTGAGGTAAGGTTTAATGCGGTAGGGCTGGAAATAAGAGGGACGTGGCTGGGCAGGAGGTTACAGAAACGGCCACCTAGCATCTTGGAGAACAGGGGGGTGAGGGAGGGGTGTGAGGGTGAGGTAGGAATGGGAATTTGAGGGATGTGAGGGTGGCGCATTCCTGGGCATGAGGTTGCAGAAACGACCACCTAGCATCTTGGAATACAGGGGTGCGAGGTAAGGGTGCGAGCGATAGCATGTGAATTGTGAGCGGTAGCGTGTGAATTGTGAGCGATAGCGTGTGAATTGTGAGCGATAGCGTGTGATTTGTGAGCGATAGCGTGTGAATTGTGAGCGATAGCGTGTGAATTGTGAGCGATAGCGTGTGATTTGTGAGCGATAGCGTGTGAATTGTGAGCGATAGCGTGTGATTTGTGAGCGATAGCGTGTGAATTGTAAGCGAAAGGCAGAGCCATGCAAAGGGAGAAGGGTGGCGACGGCATGTGAGAGGAGACCCATTTCGAGGTGACTCATGAGTCGACTCGCAAGTCAGCATGTGAGAGGAGACCCATTTCCCAAACCCACCCAGCTTAAGAGCCAGCAGTCCCACCACCACATGTGCTGCTGCTTGCCTAGGGGACAAGGCAGGCCCCTGGTCCAAGCCCAAACCAGCATCAGTGTGACATAAGCGAGTTTTCCTGTATAGCTCATTCGACAAGCACACGCACCTTGAACGCCAGCAGTCCCACCACCACATGAGCTGCTGCTAGCCGAGGGGACATGCGAGGCCACCAATCCAACCCACCAGTGTGACTAGTATAGCCCACTCCACACGCACAGCACACGCACCTTGAAGGCAAGCAGTCCCACCACCACGTGCACTGCTGCTTGGCCAGATAACAACAAGCCCGGCCACCAGTCCAGACACAAACCAGCACAAGTGTGACTAGAAACCATTGTTCTTGTGTGTCACACCCACTTTGAACGCCAGCAGTCCCACCACCACATGCGCTGCTGCTTGCTGAGGGGACAAGGCAGGTCAGCAATCCAGACCCAAACCAGCACCAGAGTGACTATAAGTGGGTTCTTCTGTACATCTCATTCGACAAGCACACGCACCTTGAACGCCAGCAGTCCCACCACCACATGCGCTGCTGCTTGCCGAGAAGACAAGCGAGGCCGCTGGTCAATGCCGGAGAGGCTTGGCCAATTCACATTCTTTGCTGTGTGCGATTCCACAACCCAACCCACCTTAAACGCCAGCAGTCCCACCACCACATGCGCTGCTGCTTGCCTAGGGGACAAGCGAGGCCACTGGTCAATGCCGGAGAGGCTTGGCCAATCATGATGTGCCAGCTCCTCCACTGCCCGCCTTCTCATGTCTGCCAGTCCCCTCTGCGCCCTCTCCATTTCTTTCCGTAGCCCTGTGGGTCTGTCCGTACCGCTGCTGCTGCTACTGCCACTGTTGCCAATGCTGTTACTGCTGCTGCTACTGCCGCTGTTACTGCCAGTCCACAATCCCCATACGTGCGCTGTCCCCCTTGTGCCCTGCTGACTGCCGCTGCCGCCGCTGCTGCCGCTGCTGCTGCTGCTGCTGCTGCTCGCTTGGCGTGGTTGTTTCTTCAAGAGCGGAGCGGGCAGGCGATTTGATTGTAGTTGAGGCGGGTGAAAGGCTCCGTGAACCACCTGTGATGCCTGCATGCGGTGGAGTGGGGTGGGGTGGCGTGGGGTGGAGTGCGGTGGCATGGGGTCGGACGGGAGGAGAAGGGGTGAGAGGAATGGGAGGTAATGGGCTGGTGAGACGATTGTTGCTGGGCGGGCGAAGGGCTGCATGCTACAGGTGCAGCGGAATGCAGTGGAGTGGGTTGTGGTGTGGTGTGGTGGGATGGGTTAGGGAGGGGATGGGATGCGGAGGGGGAGGACGGGGAGGGGATTAGATTGGAGGGGAAGGGAGGGGAGGGAGGAGAGGGGTTGGGAGGGGAGGTGGTGTGGTGGGATGGAATTGGATGATATGAGGAGATTCCCCCTACCCACTCTGGCTGCCCTATCCACCCTGCCCTGCCCTCTCTCAATATAGTTAAAGCATTGCTGCTGAGATGAACTTGAGCCTCATTGCCGAGCCTCACAACCGAGCCTCACAACCGAGCCTCACAACCGAGCCTCACTGCCGAGCATTGCCGACGAACCTCGCCTGTGCTGTGGCAAGAGAGCCGGCGGCGATGCAGAGAGCACCGAGAAGAGAGGAGAAGAGAGGGAGAGGGACAAGGCAAGTAGGGAAGAGACGTATGCACGGCGTACGTGCCCCAGTGCCCACTTTGCATTGCACTGCATAACCAACCGCCGATGCAAGAGGGGTTTTATGTGTTGGTTGCACTTGCACACCTGAGCAGAGGCACGCGAGCCGGCAGCAGTGCAGAGAGCACCGAGGAGAGAGGAGGAGATGGGGAAAGGGGCGCGAAGAGAGGAGCTGCATGCATGGCTTACTTGCCCACTCTGCTGTGCGGGGTGCCAAGGGATGCATGCATAGAATACCTGCGCGGAGGCAAGCGAGCCGGCAGCGATGCAGAGAGCACCGAGGAGAGATGAGGTGACGGGCGAGGCGAGAAGAGAGGAGACGCACGCATGCCCGGCCTACCGACTCTCTGCCTCATTACCGAGACTCACTGCCGAATTTCACTGCCGAAGCTCACTAATGGACCTTGGTGCAGAGGCAAGCGAGCCCGCAGCGATGCAGACAGCACCGAGGAGCGAGGAGGAGAGTGGGAGAGGGGCAAGGCGAGAAGGGAGTAAAGTCATGCATGGCCTATGTCCCCACTCTGCTGTGCAGGGTTTCAAGTGTTGCTTGATTGCTTGCATACCTGAGCAGAGGCAAGCGAGCCGGCAGCGATGCAGAGAGCACCGAGGAGAGATGAGGTGACGGGCGAGGCGAGAAGAGAGGAGACGCACGCATGCCCGGCCTACCGACTCTCTGCCTCATTACCGAGCCTCACTGCCGAATTTCACTGCCGAAGCTCACTAATGGACCTTGGTGCAGAGGCAAGCGAGCCGGCAGCGATGCAGAGAGCACCGAGGAGCGAGGAGGAGAGTGGGAGAGGGGCAAGGCGAGAAGGGAGTAAAGTCATGCATGGCCTATGTCCCCACTCTGCTGTGCAGGGTTTCAAGTGTTGCTTGATTGCTTGCATACCTGAGCAGAGGCAAGCGAGCCGGCAGCGATGCAGAGAGCACCGAGGAGAGATGAGGTGACGGGCGAGGCGAGAAGAGAGGAGACGCACGCATGCCCGGCCTACCGACTCTCTGCCTCATTACCGAGCCTCACTGCCGAATTTCACTGCCGAAGCTCACTACTGGACCTTGGTGCAGGGGCAAGCGAGCCGGCAGCGATGCAGAGAGCACCGAGGAGCGAGGAGGAGAGTGGGAGAGGGGCAAGGCGAGAAGGGAGGAAAGTCATGCATGGCCTATGTCCCCACTCTGCTGTGCAGGGTTTCAAGTGTTGCTTGATTGCTTGCATACCTGAGCAGAGGCAAGCGAGCCGGCAGCGATGCAGAGAGCACCGAGGAGCGAAAAGGAGACGGGCGAGGCGAGAAAGGAGGAGACGCATGCATGCACGGCCTACCGAGTCTCTGCCTCATTACCGAGCCTCTCTGCCGAACCTCACAGCCGAACCTCGCTACCGGACCTTACATATGCGGAGGCAAGTGAGCCGGCGGCGATGCAGAGAGCACCGAGGAGAGAGGAGGAGACGGGCGAAGCGCAGGAGACTCTGCACACCATGCCAACATGCTTATAACGGGGATGGGGGTGGAGAGAGAAGGAGACGCGTGAGGTACAGGAGACTTTGCATAAGATGCCAGAATGCTTGTAGCGGGGATGGGGAGGAGAGAGTAGGAGGCTTGTGCAGCGCAGGTGCAGGAGACTCTGCACACCATGCCAGCATGCTTATAACGGGGATGGGTGGAGAGGGGGGACAGGGTGGTAAGAACGCAGGTGCGGAAGGAAAGATGGGGGGGAGGGGAGGGAGAGGGGGAGGGGGGGGAAGAGGGGAGGGGGAAGGAGGGAAGGGGAAGAGGGGGGTTAGGGAGGGGGAAAAAGGGGTGTTGCGGATGGGGGTGTTGCCATGGAAGCACATGTGGGCCAAAGAATATGAATATGAGGATGTGGTCAGACGCTTCTAGGAACACGTACGTTCACAGCAGGTTTACAGTCAGCTTGCCTTCGCTAGAGCTCGCTACAGCCAAAATTCGCACTTGCAGGGTTCGCTACAGCCGAAATTCGCACTTGCACGGTTCGCTACAGCCGAAATTCGTACTTGCACGGTTCGCTACAGCCGAAACTTCGCGACAGCCAGAACTAGCAATAGGACCAACCTGCGCGCAGGACGCAGCGGCCATGTACACGACGCCTGCGGTACCCATCTCCGCTACAGCCGGCAGCAGCTGCACTGCTGCCTCTGCTACAACCGATGCACAGTCCGCTACAGTCGTTGAATTGCTCGGTGCAGCTGATGGTGCCATTGGAAACAAAGGGATAGTTTTCTAACGCGGATTGATCAAAGGTATGAAAAACACACAAACAGGGCTATCTAACTGACCCAAGAGTGCACCACTTTACATGGAAATTACCGCGTCTCATGAGAATAAGGCGAGAGCGACTGACCACAGTTCGGTCAAACGAGTGAAATTCCTTTTGATGTGACTGACGGATAGGATGTGGAAGTGCTATTGAGAATGAGGTAAGCAAGGAGGCACATTGGGAGTGTCATCGATTAGGTATAACGTGAATGACAGACTCGGGAAATATTTATGACCACTATGTATGATAATCTAGGAAAGTGAAATCAAAATGAGAAAGTATCCATCATACGAGTATCTTTGATTAATGAACTGATGATAAACTCAAGAGAGGTTATGAAGGCACTCATTGTTATATTATGCCGCCACCACACCACATTGCGCCATTCGATATGAGATCATAAGTGAAATTTTCGAAACTGCTGGCTTGTTACACACGGTAACCAGTCTCGCCACGTCAGCTTAAGATGAAATGACCTGGCACTGTCCGTTTGTGCTCACAGTAAAGCGGCTGGATGAGATTGCGATATGCAACGGAGCGGTATGTTTGGGTGGGGTGGGGTTTGAGCTGGATTGCTCCCCAAAAACATGTGGGATGGGAAAATTGCTTCGTGTTATCCGTCCGTACAACTGAACAAGCAGAAAACCCACCTAGAAATTGTCCTTCCTGCGCATCCACCAAACAAACTACCTCTCCCCGTTAGCCGCTCTCCCTAGAGTACCGCTGCCTGCACTGCTTTCATCGCGCGGTGACCGTTGTACTTGTAATTTCTCATCCAAGCAACCACATTCCCCACCCAGTCCCATGCCATTGGTAGTCAGAGAGTCGTCGCTCAGTAGTGAGTCTAATTTCGTCCGCTTTCGGAGTGTTAGCGAATGTGCGACGCGTGTGAGCGAGTTCCGCAGCATTTAGCCGTGAGGCAGGTGGTTAGAGCCGGCAGCGCTTGTCGCCATGTTCGGCTTTATGTCAAAACCCAAAACGCCAGCCGAGATTGTCCGAGCGCTCGCAGATGGGCTGCAGACATTGCCTCGAGACGATAAGGTGTGTGTCACTTTCAGCAGCATCCGATGCTGTCAGCCGTGAGGCAGGTGGTTAGATCCGGCAGAGCTAGTCGCCATGTTCGGCTTTATGTCGAAGCCTAAGACGCCAGCGGAAATAGTGCGAGCGCTCGCGGACGGGCTGCAGTCATTGCCTCGAGACGACAAGGTGGGTG